CCCCCCCCCCAAGTTTGCCTACTCAGCTACCTTGGTTACACTCATATGGCCCTGTTTTCTGGGAAAGTGGTGGAAACAGTCACCCAATCGCTATACCTGTTAGCATTAACTTCTACTTGCTGAGTACCTAGTTAAGTCCCAGGAAGTTCTAGACACTTTACAAAACTTTCATTTTATCTCCCTAGGATGGAGGTGATAGTATAAATAACAAAATGCATGCAGTGCTCTCAGCACAGCGCCTGCTTGACTCCCCACGACATTTCCTGAGAATTTGTGCTCCATGGCAGCAGGGATCTTGGGTCACTCATTCACGGCTGTATCACGGGGCCAGGATAGTGCCTGGTGCATAGCAGCTGCTCAGTAAATGTTTGTTGAATGAATCATAAATATTAGTTGTTAGATAGCCCCATTTTTACAGGTTACCAAACCAAAGCTCAGAGAGGTTTAGTAATTAGCCAGCTCACAGAAGGAAAAGAGTGGCTGAGCCAGGGTGGGAACCCAGAGCCTGTAGTAAATGCCTGGAAGTGCTCCTGAGCAGGAGAGCCCTTGGGTGTGATGTCTGTGGACTAGCTGATTGGAAAGGTGGCCTTGCCCTGGGAACTGGAGCTGGGATACCTGAAGCCCACCTCTGACTCAGGGACACACACGGCAGGGCCTGTGCCTCCTCCCTCCCCCAGGCTTCTCAGCAGCCAGGCTTCTCAGCAATTTGTCATCCGTGAAACCTAATTAGCACAGCTTCCATTTCTACAATCTTTTAACCCTTTCATGATTGTATGGCCCAGGCTCCCTTGACAGGTTTCTGTTCTGGCTCTATAGATTATGCTGATTTTTAGTTTACATGGTCTGAAGGAGTATGATTTTGGAATGTAAGCCCAATTATTCAAAACTAATGTGGTAGGGAAATCATATATACTTTGGGAGAGTCTGGAAAATTTCAAATGTATACAATTTTATGACTGGAATCTCAATGGATTCCTCTCCTTCGCTTTGATTTGCCTGGATAAGACATTATGTGATTTTTCTCCCATTGTTTAGGTGACTTATGAGGTTTGTTGCTTTTCCAGTTTTAATTTGAAAGTGTTTTTTGTCTGTCAGTTATATTTAAACTTCTAGACACTATTTTGTAATGATGTCCAAAGAGACCCAAATTTACTAACTTTGTGTTTAATATGGGCTTCTGTATAAGTAGATGCCACACTATCAAGCTAGAATGATGGGAAGAAGAAATAGCATCCCTCCCCCTGCCCCACCGTGAGATCACATACATGTACGTTATAGAAAAGTATACCTGGTCATAAAGAAAACCATTTTACACCTTTAACCAATGCGATATCTGTATTCTGGGTATTTACTTAAATAAAGCTCAGGTTCTTTCCTACTTCAGTCAAGGTAACTGTGTTTTTAAGAATTCAGGAAAATGCTTTCCAAGGTTCTTTTATCCTTTGGGTTTGCTGTTGATTCCTGCTTGTTTATAGAATCACAGGGGCCTTGGGAGATAAATATTACATACCTGCCCCAGGCAAGACGATATTCAAGTCATCCTCAAAAGATAACTTACTTCTTTCTAGAAATTTGAAGAGATAAAAGAATCTTTGGGGCATCATTACAGTGGATCATTTACTTGGGAAGGTTTTCCTAATATCTAACTTAATGACTTTCTCTTCTGGTCTTGTTCAGAAAAGTAAAAGTTAAGAGTTCAAAACACATCTTTTTCTGCATTTATAAAAAAGGTTTTGCTATATAGCTTTTCCCCTCAGGATTGAATAAATACTGATATTAAAATTTATGACACTTTGGTGTCAGAAATAATCAGCCCATTTTCCCTTTAGTGTTTTAGAGAAATGAAGGAAAAAAAGGAATAAAAGCAGGTTGTGACTGACTTCAAGGCTCTCAGGATGCTAACAGATGGCTCTGGTACCTTGTATGTAGATGGACTTGTTACTTTAGGACTGTGGAAGCTATTCTGAATTTATTTTTAATTGCTTGTTTTTAGGTGCATTTTGACCAATTTAAAGAAGCATTAATACTTATCCTGTCTAGAACTCTATCAAATGAAGAGCACTTTCAGGAACCAGGTAAGGACACTACTTTGTCTTCTCTACATTCCCCTTTAAAAGTTGTGCAGGGAAGAATTTGGGTACCTCGAAGCATGTCTGAATGATTTGGGGCATCTGCCTTCCACAGATTAAGCAGTTATTTTCAGTGACTTGCCTTTTGATATTATCATAAAAGCCTGCAGCTGTTGAACACTAAAACGAGACTTCCCTACGACAACAGCGAATTGTAGGAGAAATAACTGGATTGTTTCTAGGCACTGTGTCAGATGGTGTGGCAATAACTCACTCCTGGAATGAGCACTGAAGCCAAAAGGATATGAATTGGGAGGGGTGGATTTTGCCTGAAAGAAGAAAGGTAGCCAGTCTAGAGATAATTTTATTTAGTCTTAGTGAATGGATAACCCTCTACTCCAGACGTTATTGCATTTTATTGTAATTGTTTCTCTCCCCCTCTCAAGTGAAAGTTCCTTGAGAGCATTTGATTCATTTTTGGACTTTTAGGACCTAGTAGGATGCTTAATCCATAGTAAGCATTCAAATATTATGACTTTAATATATTTCACTGAGTTTTTAAAAGGTACCCTAGATTACAAAACGCATTATTATTTTATGTATCTCTAAAAAGAAAAATTATTGCCAATTATGGTAAAATGCCATTGATTGCAAGACACATCCTAATTTCAGTGTTCAAATCTAGGGCTGTGTGTGTGTGTGTGTGTGTGTGTGTGTATCTTAGAATTCATGAAATACAGTAAATTCTAAGGGGAAATTTATAGTGTTGAAATTTGTATTACATGCAGTCCAGTTTTATCAAATCAGTGGTTATTGGGCTAGGGGTTGATTATAAAGGGGTATGAGGGAATTTGGGGGGTGATGAAACTGTTTAATATATTGACTGTGATGGTAGTTACAGATTTCATGAGTTTTTCCAACCTGTACAATTATGCACTAAAAGGATGAAATTTACTCTGTGCAAATTATATCTTAATAAACCCTACTTTTAGAAGAAGAACATCAAAAATATAGTCCAGGTGTATGTCTGTTTTTTGGTGTTTGTTTTTTTAAATATATTTTTATTGTTTTTAGAGAAAGGGAGAGGGAGAGAGAGAGAAACATCAATAATGAGAGAGAATTATTGATCAGCTGCCTCCTTCATGCCCCCTGCAGGCCCCCTGCTGGGGATCGAGCCTGCAACCCAGGCATGTGCCCTGACTGGGAATCGAACCATGATCTCCTGGATCATAGGTCAATGCTCAACTGCTGAGCCACACCGGCCGGGCTTTAGTCCAGTTTTTGATACTGAGGAGAAATCATTAACATTTTGCACTACAAGGAGTCATTCAGTGTGACCTATTTAGACGAAGCACAGGTGGAAACTCATTTCTTATCCTCGCTGGTGATCCAGTTCTGAAATGCTCCAGATTTGTGTCACGTGTATGAACACTGTGTTTAGCACTGTTGGATTCTGGACTGAGTCTCCCCCATTTTGCATATGGTGACCACCCTTAGGAAGGTTATCACTAACCTAAGGCTTGCCAGAGCTCTCTGGAAGTCCACAGTGAGCCTGGGAGGGAGGTTATTACCTTCTTGAGGTTTTCAAGACTAACATTAGAATTTCTGTAGGTGACCACTGCTGGAACACAGACTCTTGTTCCTGTGGGGTCTCTCATTTTATTTATATTTTTCCTTATTTAAGGTTTCTGTCATCTTGATAACAATAGTGCAATATCTAGGGGCCCTGAGACAGCTATGGTGATGTCACCTCTTTGCAGTTAATAGAAGCACAGTAACGTAAACATACGTTCCATGTTCTCCTGGAGGCTTAATGTGCTTTTATACAGGTTTGGGAGGGGGGTGGGCAGCCCTGCCACTAGGCCACACAATCCTTTTGCTACTTTTTCTTCAAAACCTGTACTGTCCCATGCCAGAAAATTGTCATAATAAATATACAGATTTATGGTGACCACAAATGTGAAGAGTACACCCTAGAGGTGTGCAGTGTTGGGACCTCAATAATGGGATGAGGGCAGAGAGTGGCTTGCTGAGCTCGCTGACAGCTAGGAGGTAACGTGTATGAATCTGGCCCCGGACGGTGATTTCAGAGTTCTGTGTGTACTGTTCTGGACCATAATTTGGACAAGTCTTCCAGGATCACACATGGAAGGGATCTTTACAGTTTTGCTGTGTGCTCCGTCGTTTGGGTAGGCTGGAGCACACCTTGGTCACAGAGCCGCCCCAGTCCTGTGGACTGAGGCAGCAGAGTGCTTGCAGGCAGCATTTATGTCACCGCTCTGACATTTGGTCCAGCAGGATAAAATCCAGGCTTGAGCCTGTGCCTTAAGAGTGGTCTATCTCATGGGAGGCATTGACTCGACCCTTCCTCCCACGTTCCCTGTGGTGTTCCTGAGCATCTCTGCTTTTTCTGTCTTTGCCCATCTCTGTCTGTCTCTTCCAGTTGTGTCTGGGGATCGTGCTGTTCTTTCTACTCAGATGTTTTCCCGCCCACTCTAAAATGTGACTCCACACCCACAGGCTGACTGGCTGGCGAGGGACAGAGAAAGAAGTGTCAGGACTTACATGCAGTATACAAGTGGCCACCCGAATTCACCCTCCTCCCTCTCTAGGAAGATAACTACCCCTTAAATCGTAGACCGTATCTGGAAAGCTCTCTGCCATTTTTTCCATGAGCAAATTGAGGCCTGGAGAGGGACATAGTTTATATTCTCGCAGATAGTAGCAGAGGAGGAGGCTGACACTCTATCACTGTGTCGCCAAGGGATGTGACTTCAGGAGTCTTTAGGTTAAGGGCGTTAGCCCTCAGGTGGATGAGCTGGGGATAGCCCAGTCCTCAGTGGGTGTAGCCTGGCCTGGAAGATTCTGAGAAGCTGCCAGAGGCAGCAGGAAGGAGTTAATAAGAGCAAGTTTCACCTGATCATTAGTGACAGGGAGGCCTGTGCCCTCAGCATTATTTAGCTGTTCAGTACTTCATCTTCTCCCATGAGGGCTATGGTATTTTTGTCTTGCCTTTTAAAAGCAATAGACCTGCCCTAGCCTGCTTTGCTCAATGGTTAGAGTGTCAGCCTGCATACTGAAGGGTCCTGGGTTCGATTCCAGCCAAGGGCACATACCTCGGTTGCAGGCTCAATCCCCAGCCCTGATTGGGGCGCATACGGGAGGCAACCAATCAATGTTTCTCTCTCTCTCCCTTCCACTCTCTCTGAAAAGCAATGGAAAAATATCCGTGGGTGAGAATTAAATAAACGTATTTATGCATGTATATGTGTGTGTGTGTATCTATTGATAGACCTGCTAGACTTTGGGAGGTGACTGAAAACACAGGAGGGCCATAGTCCATACATAGTCTTAGAAACTGAATGGGTCATGAATTGATATTTTATAACATCTAAGATTTGTATACATTAAAAATCCCAGATGCTGTACCAGACCATAATGTAGAAAAGCCAGCTTGATATGGTGGAAAGAGCCTTGAACCGGGAGTTACGAAATAGTGTCTTGGCCCTTCTAAGTGGGTGGGTGGTCACTTTGTATGTAAAAGTGGTTGTGCTGGAAATGCTTAGAATACTTTCAGCTCCCAGATTTCATTGTATTGTCTCCTAATATCTAAATGACATTGTCTTAGTTTGTGAAAAAACTTAGCTTTCTGTTTCTGTAAGATTTTTACCTAACATAAATTGACACTGTAAAGTTTTGCTTCCTAGGGACAAATGTCCGGTATATAACATGCTGTCATATTCCTCTAATAAAAGGCAGTTACATATAAGTAATACAAAAATGAGGCTATAATAGTATTTGAGAGGAGGTGGAATTAAGCCATTATTTCCATAGTCTTGGGTTCTGCCATTTATAACTTCTCTAAGACACATTTTTTTTATATTTAAAATTAGAAGGTATCTCCCTAGCCAGAGTGTGTCTTCTTTAAAAAGCAAAAATGACCACAATACAATGAAAAATACTGAAATTCAGATAAGGGCAGAAAAATGGATTGGGGTTGTAGGGACTCCTTTCTAAATTCCAAACTGATTAACATGGCCAGTGGCATTACTCACTCATATCTACATGTACAATTTATTTATTTTTATTAATCCTCACCAGAAGATATTTTTTCCATTGCATTTCAGAGAGAGCAGAAGGGGGGGAGAGAGAGAGAGAGAGAAACATCAGTGTGAGAGAGAAACATCAGTGTGAGAGAGACATATCAATTGGTTGCCTCCTGCACTTGCCCCGACCAGGGCCAGGGATCGAGTCTGCAACTGGGGTACGTGCCCTTGGCTGGAATCGAACCCGGGACCCTTCAGTCCACGGGTCGACGCTCTAACCACTGAGGCAAATCAGCTAGGGCTACAATTTAGTTTTTAAATTATTTGCCTGGAATAAGTGAGGGACATCAACTTAATTATTAGTCGTTTATTCATTTGCTACGGCTGCGGCTGGGACTGCAGGGTTTTTGTAACGGAACTGCTGGCGCAGGCCGTAGCTGCGTAGCATCAGCGTGCCGTCTGGATCTGCTCTCCAGGGATTTTGTCCTCACTTGATGCACCTTGCAGTAGATTTCTTTTCTGTAGTCAGTGTTCGCACTATGCAGGTAGCCCTTTCTTTTCCTAATATGGTTAATGTAAAATATCTTTCCTTTGTTTATCTGGTGAGGGAAAACTCAGGTTCAGAAAAGCCAAGTCATTAGAAAAATAAACTAGGCATGGTTTTGGTGCAGGTGATTGGTTTTTTTGTATTAAACATTCCTAATTCTAGGAACCATCCTGATTTTAATTTTTTCCCTTATATTTTGAAGAAGCTATGACTATAATAACTAGGTGCCTTTCGTTCAGTTGGCTAATGTGCACTGAAACGGGTCTGATGACCAGACATTGGGCTAGATCCTGAATGGCAGTGATTGAAGATTTGTGTCTGCGGCTGTATGCAGAGGCCTTGGCCAGGCCCTCCTGTCCTCAGGAGCTATCATACAGAGATGGCCCAGCAGGCGTGTTCTGTTGTCCTCTCTT